TTCAACATAAAATTCTCTCAATATAAGACTCTTATATTATAAATTATCCTTAAGAAGGCCTTCGCGAAGAGGTTTTTGTTAAAGAAAACTACGCTTTAGTATAAAAGAACATACTTATGATAATTTCAAAATTTGTGCGCAAATTATTTGCATGTCTGATCATACTTTTACTTTTACAATAGCTGGTTTCAATAGTCTATTAAAGTGACGACTTTTGTGACTCACTAGTTCTAGAATGTTTTACAAAAAGTGCAAGTCGTGATGAGAAATTCAAATTGGATAAGATATCACATATTCCATTTATTAACTGTTTTTTTTAATCAGTCACCGAGTGCTTTTTTCAGTCTTTGTGCATTTGTTGGTTATACATATACTATTCTATTTGGACAATCATTGACTTTCCCTTACCATAATGATTCGAGACCAATACTTTCTTCGTTTCTTATCAAATAATTACGCTGCGACTATGACGCTGTGGAATTTCAAAGCAAAGCTTATCAGCTTGTTTAAACATGAACAAACAAAAGCAAAGGGGTACAAGCCCCTATTTCATGGTTTTTCCATAAGTGTTTGCTTGAGTTCAAACGGGCATTTGATAAGCGCAATCTGGGTAGATTTTTCTATCAGTTCGTGTACATGAACTCCTGATATTTTGAAGCTACTAGCGCTATATATAAAGCTCGCTCGCATTATTCCTCATACTGCTTTGCAAATAACATTCGTTGTTGCTAGACTTTAGCTCAGTAACTTTAGACTTAGCATTAATGGAACAAAAATAAAACAAGTAACTTATTTGTAGTTACGAAAATAAACAGAATTCTTTTTAAAATGCTATGATAAACGTTATCTAATATGAGAGTGCGCTTTGAGATTCTCACCAGCCCATGTATTCCATATCTGTATGTGATTCACATTTAAAGAATTGGAATAGATATAAGTTGAAAATATTTTCCACAATGAAAAGGATGAAAGGAATACTAGACTTTCTAACGCCAAATATGGGTAACAGGCAGAAGAAGACACGTCTCCATTTTACAGGAACACATATGTTTGAGAAACGATGTCCGTCCGTATGAACACCTAGTACTTTGGAACCATAATAGTAAGGGACACCAAATTTTGTATAAAGACTTGTCCTTGCAACTGGGCTATCTAGCACCACTGCTGCGAAACATAACCTTTCAACCATCTCTTCTTTGTGCCACATTCAACATTAAAGGTTTTGATTAAAATCAAGTTTGGGCTTTTAAGTCCTTGAGTAAAACAAAGGTATTTGTCTAGCAGAGTATATCTTTAAAAGAAGAAGCCATAAATCGAAGCTAACCTGCTTATTTCTTCTTATATACTTGTACTTCTTACCATCAGAGAATTTCCACTAAAAGAGCGAGTTGAAAACCTCGACAACCCTAAATACACCTAATTCTGTTTTTACACGGTTTGAAAATACAAAATTTTTAATTTATTTACAAGATTCCATTTGCGCGATTCAAAAAAACCAAACCCATTTAAATGAAAGCCCACACAGGTCACAAATACCTAGAAACCAATCTTGTATAGGTCATTACAAAGAATTATACAAAAAGGTACCAACAATTGGCCAACAACTGTCCAGTTCGAAATTATTCCAGCGATGATAGTATTTTCGATATATATATATTCGATATATATATTCGAGGAACTGATGATGACACCAATTAAATTTGTGTTCCTGTATTTATGATTTTCATTCACAATTTTTAATTTTTTAATTTTTTTTGCCTTTAAACTTGAATAATCTTTTTTTTGTTAACAACATAGATATTTTTTATATAATTGTTTTTAATTCCTGAACTTATATATATATAACATTTTTAATAACTAAGCTTGTGTAAAAACACATTTTAAGTTTATGTGATTTAATAAAATAAACATGAATATTTGTTCTTAAAAAATCCTTGTTTGTCCACGAATTTGAATAGGTTTTAGAGAAAAGGGCGCAATCCCCTATTTTTGCATACGATCAATGTCTTTTTTACACGGCCATTTGTACCCGATTTTTTCAGGAGCCAATCTACCGTGTAAAAACAGAATAAGGTGTAGTATCTATAATGCTTATGACATTGCCTGTTTATGTTTAATCTTCCAATATGTACTCGAAATATAAATATTAATCATCGGAACATTGAATCTGGTGTTACAGAAAAATGCCAAACTATATCCTCCCCTTGTGGGAATAGTGTATTAACTATTTATTAATGCCTATAAATTTTGTTTTACTATTCATTTTTATTTCTTTATGTCAAACATATAAAACTTTAAAAAAAAGCCTATTAAGCTAGAAAAGCCTAAGAAGTATCAGAAATCTAAACAAATTATAATAATATCTGGCCTTTCGACTGGCTATGCCCCGATTCACAGCCAAGTGTGGTTAGAGGATCTACCTAATTGGTAGAAAAGAAAAAACTTAAGCCTCAAACCTAGATAACAACTAATTTTTAAAAAATAAATAAAGAAAATAAAAAAGGACAAAAAAAGGGAAAAATTGAATTTGTCACATTATAAAAATTATCAGCAATATATTATTTTTATTTCTTCACTTTTTTTTGATCACTTAATCTTGGATCTAATGGCATGAGTCCATCTGAATGATTTACTTTGATTTTCAGAAAATGATTTACCCTGATAAAGTCCCTGGAGGTACCGCCAATACCCACTGTGATTTGTGGGCCGAAAGGAGTCGAAGCGCTGGCGCAGAAGACACACACAACTGTCACATTTTGGGTGAATGAACCCAACATGGACATGGGGAGCCAAACAGCTGTCCCGGCCGCAGAGCTTTCGTGCGAGCTTTTCGCATCCATTTAAAACCGAAACTGTGTGGGCGACTCGGGGAGGGGAATTGCTGGGAACATGTGAAATAACCCAGTGGAATATTTGTTATTATTTATTTATGCACTTGTAACCGAGTTTGTCTCCGTTCTCTTTTTATCTCATTTTTAATAAAGTTGTTGCCCAATATGTGAATCGACGAATATTTGGGGCTGAGGTGGGGCTGGGAGGCCTGCCCACATAAACAGAGAAGCGGGTGTGGATGATAAGAGCCCAGAGAAAGTCGATATCGTAGTACAAACACGAAATAGGCGCACAGCAAGCCAAAGCAAGCGTTGAAAGCAGAGCAAGTCAACAAAAAAGGCGCTGTACGTTCTCATTCCGACCTGGCCAGAACGGCTGAGGGTTGGGTTTGCGGGAGAGGTAGGGCTCAGTGTGTGGCTGTGTGTGCGATGCTTCCTGTGTGGGTTCTTGTTGATTTTCCGTATAAAATGAAAAATAATGAAATCCGAACGGGAACAGCGACAGCAAAAGTGGGCGACTCGATAAAAGAGCAACAAATACTGCGAAAATGTGAGGCTGTGGGCCACCTTCTGTAATTCAAATTCTGTAACTGCCTCGGCTATTCACTTTGATTTGCCGCGCACGTAAATGCGTTTCTAAATAAACAATTGCCGCAGGACATTTTTTAGCAGAGTTTTGCCAAAGGACTTACCCAAAGTATCACGATCGTTGAAATAACTGCTAATGCTGCTCTTCACACTAATGCAATCGACTGGCGTTGGCGTCGGCTCAAATATATTATACATATCAACATCTGGCGAATCGGGGGAGTCTGGCGCAGCACCAGTTGCGCATATGGCTGATTAGATTATAAAATAAAACAAACAGAATATAAAATATGCAGCGGAAAATACACGATTAACAAAACATAACAACTAAAATGTAAGCCTGTTCGCCTATCAATACAATACACAGTACAATTAGGCGTTACTTATATTATTATTTTATTTATTTATTCATTATTGTTAAAAAGACTCCCTTTAAGTAGAATTGTCGAAAGAAATGCTTCGATTCATTCGATTTGGCACTCTTGTTATAAGGGAAAGTTATAATAAGAACTATTTCTATTCAAAATGATGTTATTATTTAAAACTTAAAATAAACTTGTAAACTTGATTCAACACTTCTTTTAATATTAAGTTATTTTAAAGCACTATTTTTCTGGGATTCGAGTGTTTTAAGGCCTATATATTCAAGTAGTCAATCGATTCGATCAATAAATAAACAAGTGCAGAGGAAAGCTAAAGTCGGGTGTCCCGACCTTAAAATAAATGCACACTAACATACGTATTGCATCTATGCGTGTTTATGCATGTCTCGTGTGCCTATGCAAAGCAGCAACAACAACAACAGCTGCGGGCAGTGCTTAGGCAAGTCAACATATATGGCTATAACTTCCTGTTAAATCGGCCTATCATAATTAGACTTGGCATTGCATTTATCAAATTTCAATTAAAATTCCAAAAAATACGGGAGCTATGAAAAATCAATGATGGCGTGGGAGAGGGGGAGAATGGGAAATTCCAAAATATTCATTTTCTGCGTATTCACATAAGGCATATAGGACTGGTGTCCCTAGGTCTTATAGTCTCCAAACTATAGGTGATTATACAAACGGAAAATCCCCCTTAGGGGGGGGAAGTGGGAGGAAAATCTAAAAAGTAAAACAAGCTTACACAGCGTACACACATATCGCATCTTTGTGCAAAATTTGGTGTCTGTAGCTCCTATAGTCTCTGAGATCCAGGTGTTCATACGGACGGACGGGCAGACAGACAGGCAGACAGACAGGGCTAGATCGACTCGTCTTGTCATGCTGATCAAGAATATATGTACACCTAATTCTGTTTTTACACGGTCTTTTTTCACACGATTTTGATATAACACGGCTGGAAAGTAAAAAATTTCATATATATTTCTTTAGAGATAAGGAACCAATCACCTATTTCTGTATATGAGCAATGTATTTTTTTTGACACGGTTGTTCCTGGAACCAATCTACCGTGTAAAAACAGAATTAGGTGTATATACTTTGTGGAGTCTGCCACGCCTCCTTCTGCCTGTTACCTTTTTCAGTTCGCACAAACCTAATATACATTTCATTTACAGAGTATAAACATAAGTACATATATATTTCAAATTAAAGTTCGCAGTCTTTTTATTTAAACAAACACCTTAAAGTATTATTCGATGATTGAACAGATTCTTATCGTCTTGTCTTATTATTTAGGTTTAACATCCTTACTGAAAGAATTTAACTGGCGATTCACTTTCGCCACCACATTTAATTGTTTTCGATCCAAGTATTTTAATATTTTCGGGTACAATTCATCCGGCAAACCGAGCAGTGTCGGTTGCAATTGAACATCCAATGCGGTAAGTTGCTGTACACGCATCGGATAAAAGATTTTCTCGCGCAATTCAAAGGATAGGTTGTCCAATTTCCGAAAACGGCTGAAAAGTTGCTTGTTCTTCATCTGCAGGTTGAGAACGTAGCGACTAATTGGTAGACAGACACTATAACCGCGTTCACTACGCGGTGGCGCTGGACTTAGGGTGATCATCAGCATGTCGCCCATCTCCACGACCATGAGACGTGACTGAAGCACTGCGACGACTGCATCCTCTGCTGATTGCCTTTCCGTCACGGTGCGCAGCTGCATGGAAAAGACAGTGTCGCTGTGCAGGTGCGTATAGACTGGCGGAATTGTGGTGGCGATGCGCACATTGCCGGCATGAAAACACGAGATTCCGGGCACCGGCTTGAGTAGATGACGCTTCTCCCTATAGACATGTTCCTCCACGAATCCACATTCCACAGCCAGCGCATAGATAAGCAGAAACAGTATTTCAGAATTTGACTGTTTCGTGTCCTGATAGTGTTCAAATAGTTGCTGAACGTGCTTAGGAATTGTTTCGGGAGTGGCATACTCCAGGCATAAAGGGATGGGGTCTGCTTCAGCGGAGACCGCAACCCGCCCTCCGCTTGATGCTGAAACGAGCCGAAAGTTGTTGGCAATGAGAAGGCAAATATGATAATTGGTCACCTGATAGTATTTTAAGTTTTCGTGGTATAATATTTGGTGCTGTTATGGAAGTTGGAGCTGAAGGTTTGGTGCTTGGTGGTGTCTATGAGGATTACAAAAGTTAGTGCTATGGGAAAGTAGTGTGTATATGTAGTATCAAATGAAATTACAAAATAAGTTAAAAGAAACTAACCTGAGTATACAGGATGCAATACTCGATTTGGGTGTAGGTGTTGTTGGTTTAATGCTTTGTTGTTGTTGTTGTTGTTTTTGTTTTTATGTTCATTGTGAAATAAGAATTTGTTATGCACTACAGGAAACACAAAAATGTAAACGCAAATGCCGTTAATTACACGCGACTCTATACAATACATTAGTAGCACTGTCACAAAAATACACCGTTACTTCAGTGCGTCCAAGCCGTACCGCAACAAAATATAAACTAAAATATCAATATCAAAACATACATACATACATACATAGAGCGCAAGCCACATTACAACTACAAATTATATTATTTTACGATCCACTATCAGTGCAGAGTTGATCGTGCGCCTCTACTACTTATTTATACTAACCTTGGACGGTTGCTTTACGTTTGCTTATGCGGCCACCCGCAGCCCGCTCTTCCACCTGATGCTCGGCTGCTGACGACGATGACGGCGCTGACGGCACATCATTTGCTTGGCTGCCGGCGTCCGTAGAATTTTTTGACTCTGACATTATTCACTAAATATTTTCCTTTTTGTGTGCATTACGTATTTTTTTGTTACTTTTATATACAATGTGAATCCGGTTACTTTGTTTAACACACAACTCACATTCACACACACATTCGCACACAGGCACGCGCGGCGTTTCCAATTCGGCAAGCTATTTCATCAATATTTGTAATATTCAATAACGCGCACTTGATGTTAAGTTTAAAATATAAACACGTCTAAGTATATACATATATTCCAAAATTGTAAACGTTAAAAGCACCGTCAAATCACGACAACCGCTTTGAATTCGCGAAACAAAAAATAGTTCCAAATCAGCTGCGGTGCCAGTGTTGCCTTGCTTCGACGGTAAATATTCGGGATACATCGATATCTATCGACTACAGCAGCCATCATGTTAAACGACCATCGCTACCGCATTATTTGTTGTTATAATCAGGTGTTTGTTTAATCTAAAATGAGCAGTGAAGAGCTCTATCTTGTGCAAGAGGCTCAAAGCTTGCGCAAAAGCGATCCTTGTGCGGCCAAAGCCTGGATTATAACTGCTAAAACCCTCTTCCCCAACTCCTTCATAGTGTCCTATGAGGCGTACTTGCTGGAACGAGATTCGAAAAATTTCGAGGAGGCGGCGAAATGCTTCAGCGTACTGTTAGTACACAAATAAAGTACTTGTAAATTTTTATGGGTAAAAGGGTACCAATATGCTATGAGAAATGCTTTCCATGCTACTGCAACCTAGGGAATGAAACTGCCTTAAAGATATTCATGGATTTCGGTTGCTGACTTCATGCTTTGCCATTGAGGGGCAGACCCAAAAGTAAGGGATTCAGACAATACTTGCAAAAAGTGCACCAAGGCTGAGTGCGATATGAAACCTATCTCTAAAAAGAAACTCAGACAGAACTTTGAAACAAATGCATAACAAAACGAGGAACTCGCTTAGTATAATATGCTATGAAACCAACAGATGGCTACGTCCACCACCCAGAATGGAATAAAAATAAAAATTACTGCACATGCTGATTATATTAATTAAAAACTCAATTGCAGCGCCACCAAATTTGCGAACCATCACACAGAACTATGGCAAGAGATAAATTCGCTGACCAGCGCCCTGCGCCAAAGCGAAAACGAGAGCACGGAGCATGAGTTTTATGTAAAGATGTACAAACATCTGGCGCCTGATGTACAACATAATGTATTCATGCACACCATCAACCACACCGACAACAACCTGGAGCAGTGTAAGCTGCTGGTTCTCATGTTCAACAAATTTCCCAAAACAGCCACAGTGCAGGCGGTAAGAAGATAAGAATCTCCGTCCAGGACTATTTGTACATCTAATTGTATTGCAGCCTCGACTTCTGGAAATGCTGGCCGAAGGCATGAAAACCGATGCAGATCTGTACCAACGGATGCTTGTTGAGGAGGTGCTGCCCTTGATACAGCACAAGCCGCCCGAGTTGTCGCCCGTGCTCGCCTGTAGGATCTACACCAGCTCGCTGGAGTATTACCTGCGCCAGATCATGGATAACGAAACGTGCGACATTACCGAAGCGTGGAAGAACATTTTCAAGGTATTGATGCTGTGCGGCCAGATGATGCGCTGGGAGCCCTTTCTGCCATTCAACAAATCTTGGGGTCAGAATGTCTACTGGGAGAAGCTTGTGGAGATATTATCGGCCAGTCCAGCTGGTAGTCCACAGGTGCTCTTCTATGCCACAACTCTGTTCATTTATTCCCTACATGGCTACATACGTAACTGCAAGCTGCGTATCGAGGATGCGGACATTAGTCATGTGCTTATGGAATGGACGCTGGACAGCGCTGAGGTGGAACCACAGCCGCCAAAGTTCTCGCTCACCACGCCGATCAGTCAGGAATTGTCGAAGGCATTCCTGCATGCCGCCCAATGCTGGCAGCTTCTGAACACCGAACAATTTCAGCGCGACTTCAGTCAACTGATGTTGGCACTACCCTTGGCGCCTTGGATATCACGCTTTCTCTTCGATCTCGCCATCTATTTTGGCCATTGGGACGAGGCCAACAAGCTGATGAGCGAAATGACCACACAGAGCACGCTGGTGCAGAGCTTGCAAATACTTAGTCTGAACCTGATGCAGGGAAGCATGACACTGCAGGGTTTCCAGTGCATATTAAAGATCCTGTCGGAGCTGCCAACCACCTGCGGACAATTGCTCGAGAATGTCACATTGAAGGGCCATCGACACATGATCTTTTTGCCCTTGACTCGCTCCGCTTTGGTACAATACTGCACGCGCGCCATTGTCAACACACTGAGCGTAAGTAAGAAGTCTCTTCTAACAACTCTATATTACTATTCTGTACTAATTTTGGACTTGGAGGAACTCTAAGGTGAACTGTTTAGCTAAAAATTTGAAAGGAGAAACGACTTGTGTTTTCAATTAAGCGACTTATCTATATAATAAATATTTTGGCCTGACTTTCTGATCGGGAAACAAGGCACAAACGAAAATGAGTCAGAAAGCTGAAATATTGAATAGAAGATTACTTTTGAGCGCTCAGATTTTGTAATATTAACTCCACCAGTGAGTTGAAGTCGTGATTAAAATTTGTGAGAAGAACTTTGAAGAAACCATTAGTTTAACGATTTTTACTGAACATGGAAGATATATCATAAGCTGGAGAAACGTATGCAAAAGCTTCCTCCTTTATTCAAGAAACTTTCGGGGTAATTACAAAAACCATCGTTTCTTAAATTTTGAAAAATACAACAACTACAAAATAGAAGCGGTTGCAAGTAATTCTGTCTGGCTGGCGGTCAAAATTTATATAGATTATAGTTTAAAACGGCTAACAATTTATTAATTCTGGGATAGCTATTGAGCATACCTAAAACACTATAAATCTGCGCACCTACTAGCTAGCTTATATTTATTGTCATTTGAAAAATTATTGAATATGTGAGTAAGGATTTTAATTTTATTCTTTCGATTGCAGCGCAAATTGTACGAACCGAATTGCTCGGATCGTCTCTTGGGCGACTTACTGGTGCTGCTCCAACTGAACCTAGTCAGTGATATACAGCTGAAGCAACAGATCTTCAGCCTGATCAAGCAACGCAAATCCTTCAACCTTCGCACACTCTCTACCTACATCATTGCGGCGGAAATGATTGAGGAGTTGGCCTACATTTGGCACACACAGCAGGACGATGCCAATTTCGAGTTGACGGGCTCTCCAAACAGCGGCGGGGCGACCGCAACAGTTCCCACTCCACGTCGCATAGGAACTAGAGGCGCCGACAAGGGCGCACGGGATGAGTTCCGCGCTCTTATTCGCCAGCAGATCGCACGTTCGAATGAAAATGTCACCACATTGGTAGCGAATTTCATTAGTCAGGAGCATTTGACTTTGGCTCAGCACATTTTTGGCATGGAAACGATTGTAATAAAGTAAAATGATATTATTGAGGAATGAAGAAACGTTTTTGAGTTGTTTTTAGTGCCCCTAACTGCTGGTTTAGAGCAAAATAAATAAAATGTTAATTGAATTCATGGAATGTAAGAAACAAAACCCTTTGTTGTTAACAGAACTAAGAACTTTGCATCAGTTGAAAATAATTTTAGCTTTAAAATTTCTTTGTATTCTGGCACATACCTAGATACTTTTGAAACCACTTAACCATTTCTATAATTAAAGTGAGCATGAAAGTACTCTTGAAAATTTCATTTTATTTTCAACATGTAATTTAAAAGCTAAAACAAGAGAACCTCGAAGTAAATTTGTACAGCTTCAAAGGTCCGATATTTTTGCAAAAAAAATAGGATTTGCATTACTTGCAAAAAAGTAATAATATTTTGGTTATTTGAAAACTATTACTCATGACTGGAAAAGAACAGAGACTTTTCACAATCTTGGTACACTTGGCTTTTCTCACAATCTGCATTTCTTTGTACCCGAAAAAGGTTGCTAAAAAAAAAGTCGAAAATAAATAAATCATTTTTCTAAATCAAAAGCTGCTTTTATGATAATGTTGTTGGAGAAAAGGTAAATTGTGACTATTTATTCCATTTATAGAGGAAAAAGAATTAGGAGATTCCAAAGCTCAAACGATTTCTTAACTTGGAAAATAAATTATATAATGGGTAATTAATTAAGGCAAGATTTAATTAAACCTATTATCGAACATATAAACTTAGGGCAAATGGTTAGTTAAGAACACTAATATTTGCCTCATCAGGCCGTAGTCAAGGACATCAGCTTTGCTTCAATATTAGAATCGGAATAAATTCGCCTTTTATATCAGTTGAACGCTAGTGAACAATTATTTAACAAGTATTAGATAAGAAAACCTTGTTAGTGCCTTCAAATAATCGTTTTTAAGAAGCTTTCGCAGCAAATTCGTTTCGAAACATACCCCGAATTAAAGATAAGTACTATTCGGGCCAATATTAATCGATTCAATTCATTGCACACACCCACCAATCAATAGCTTGAGCTTTCTTATCTGTAGTACAATTACTATATGGAGATGGAAATATATCTTTAGTCTTTGAAGCCTGTTCAAGGGAATCGCACGCGAACATGGTCGATGAAGGGATGTGTTCCATTTGCCTTCATCCACGGGAGAACGCATTTCTACCGAGTTGCGGACATTCGTACTGCGGGAAGTGTACGACAAGACTGGAAAAAATATCTCCTAAGCGTGGTAAACCAGAACTGCAATGCGCAGACTGCGGCGCAAGACTGAATTATCTGTACAAAGAGAACTATATCTGTGCAATATTATAGCTGTGTATATATTTTCGTTAATGTATTTTTAATAAGTTGTGTTTTTTATCTACAATTCCAGCTTATTTTTTTACCAAAATGAAGTGAACAAACCACTCTCTTCTATACAGCTAGGAAATAATTGAACCACTCTCTACTATACACATAACACATATTTGGATTTGTTTAATAATAGCCTCTTGAATTATGTGTGCGTATAACAATTATGTGGGAACATGACTAAAAATTTGAAGGTGCTGTGCAAAGAGTCTTATCACAATAATATGAGTTACATATAAATGTATGTAGGTATGAGTCATCGCGGATTTGGATCTTCGACCTTCTTGGTCGTTACCTCCATCAGCGAGTTCTTTGATTCGGCGGACCCTAATTGGCTCCTTGATTCGGCGGGCGCTAATTTGTTCTGTGGCTCGTGGACAGCAATCTCCAGCGGCAGATGGACGTTGAAGTCATGCTTCATATAGGATATGAGAACATTGTAGACGGCCGTGCACACATTCACAAAAGCGACGCGATATTTGGTGTCCAGATAGCGAAAGTTCACATACTGAGCTGCTGGCCAAGTCAACCAGTCTAGCATATAGATGTAGGCGAACTTCTCCATTATCTCCTTGTGCGTCGCCTCCAGCGTCTGATGCTCCAGATAGCAGACCGAGTAGAAGAATAATAAAATGCAAGCCGGTGACATGAACAACTGATCGATTAGGATCTTTTTGATGGTTGTCCGAAAGGTGCGCTGCGGCATTATGCGATCCATCCAGGCATAGACATAATGATGGAGCGGCCCCTGAAGTGCTCCGGCCACAAACATCCGGTAGATACGCTCAACATCGTAACGATCCTCGCTTCTCAGCCCGCGCCGATACTCATACTCCTGTGCCACCACATCGCCTACCACCATGAGGACACCAGAGCCAATTACATTGGTTGCCAGCAGGTACTTGCCAAACATCTTGTTCCACAGCAGCTTCGTCCAGCGCACCAGAGTCAGTGCCTCGCTCGTCGAGCTCTCATTCTTGCCATGCAGCGACCGTCTCACAATTTTTGTCGGGATTACATCAGCAATTCTATGGCGGGCGTAAAAGGCGAAGAATGTATGACGGCCGGCGGTATTAATCGCCCTACAATTTGGACGCAGGACTTGGCCACATGTGGAGAGCATGCTGCCGTTGGCTGCTGGGAGTCTCCGGTGCAGATGCTCGGAAAAACTGCTTATTCGCCCGTACCTGTACCTCACTTATCTCTGCCAATTGTGTTTTGTTTTGGTGATAAGAAAGTTATCTCAGGGGTACTATGGTCTAGAGCCAATTCTCTTGGCGTTGCCGCACTAACAGAAAAATTATCGATAATAACTGACCGAAAAATTTAGATTTAAATTTGTTTTATGAAAATGACTACCATGTCAGAACTTAATATTTTTTTTAACATTTTTAAAGTTAATTTAATATGCGCATACATCGATTAGAATGGAAGATATATGTCTTGTATTTAATTTGATGCATATTAACATATTGTTGGTATGATTTTATTTCTTTGACTCATCTATAATTTTTAAGTCATGTTTCACATACGACATTACGAAAATATACATAGCTGACCAAAAATTAATGAATGCTATACGGAACTTGGGGGCCAAATATCTAAAGTTAACATATTGTATTGCTGGCCATAATGTGCAATTAATCGCAAACATATAGGGAAATTTCTGTAGAAACTCTTGATTTGTTTCACGCAAGGAGGATCCCTCAAGGTAGCCCACTGAATAGAAGAACGCACAAATGTAAGCCGGTGATAATAAAAAGCGATCCAATATTATTTTTCTGATGACAACGTCCCGTGTTTGTTGTGGCATGAAATGATCCATAAATATGTAAAAATAATGTTGCAACGGACCAACTATCAATCCAACTAGAAACATGCTATATAAGCGTCTGAAATCATATTCTTTGTGCTGATGATCACTTTGTATAATTTCATATTTCTGTGTTATAAAATCGCCAGCGACCATTAGAAGACCAGAGCCAAGAACATTGGTAATGACCACATATCTGCCAAACATAATTCTGAATAATTTCCTCCACTTTGACTCCATTTTGGAGTGTTTAAGCCGTCTTACTATTGCGCTTGGAAAAACAATTATTTTTGCCGATTTCAATAGAGCGGACTTGGCAACCCGGCGAACGCATTTGAAATTAACGTTGCACTTCATCGATAACATTTTCGTTTATCATTTCGCAGTATCGATGCTTTCTTATATCTGTTGCCAGCCCTAGCGACGTCAGCGTCACTTGCTCTCTGCTTTGCTCTTCAGTTCGCGTTTTATTTATAGGCTGAATTTCCACTTTCTCGCGCCAAATGTTTTTATGCGTCCAAAATAGATAAAATTCCATAAAAAAACATACACTTTTCACATATAAAACTCAACTCACATGCAAAGCAGCACTGCCACATAGGGTGCGATAATTAATGTTAGGTTAGAAACGATTTGCCGCTAACAAAAAATGAAAATAAAATTAATCCAAAAATGAGTAATGTGTTACATTTTGCCATTTTAGTGACATCAGAAGCAACGAACACTCTTCCATCTACAGTAAAAGTATTCTAACACACACAAAAGCGGCGCACCCCCTGGAGCGCCACACAAGCAAATCATGAGACTTCTTTACGTTTTCGCGCTCATTTTGGCCGTCCGTTTGGCATCGGTGTTCGTAGTGAAGACCTACTATGTGCCGGATGAGTATTGGCAGAGCTTGGAAGTGGCGCACAAGCTGACCTTTGGGTAAGGAATAAGGTGCAGAAATATATAAATAAGTAGTTTATTCATGAAGTACATATTTCATTCACAGCTATGGCTATCTGACCTGGGAATGGGTTCAGGGCATACGCAGCTATATATACCCTCTGTTAATTGCTGGTGTCTATAAACTGCTTGCTTTGCTGCAGCTAGACAGCGCAGAATTGCTGGTGCTGTTGCCACGCATCCTGCAGGCCATACTGAGCTCCTATTCCGATTATCGATTCTATGTGTGGACGGGGAAGCGAAAGTGGGCGCTGTTCTTGATACTTGTGCCCTGGTTCTGGTTCTACACTGGCTCGCGCACGCTGGCCAACACTCTGGAGGCTTCCCTGACCACCATTGCACTGAGCTATTTCCCCTGGTATGGCGAGGGCAGTGCGTATCTGTGGCTGGCGGCCATATGCTGTTTCCTGCGTCCCACAGCCGCCGTCATCTGGCTGCCTTTGGGCATCTATCACTTGAGGAAAAGTCGCATTTCCGCTGTGGAGCTCATTCTGAAGCGTTTTGTCGTGATTGGGTGTGTAAAAATGTAACCTTAACATATTTGATATTGTAATTGTATATCGTCTGTTTTGCAGTTTGATTGTGGCTTCTGCCGGCATAGCCATAGACACTTATTGGCATGGTCGTCTGATTGTGACGCCCTATGAGTTCCTCAACTACAACATCTTCCACAATATTGGCAGCTTTTATGGCTCGCATCCCTGGTACTGGTACTTCACAGTTGGCCTCCCCACAGTGCTGGGCATTAACACGCTCCCCTTCCTCTATGGTATTATGGAAACGGTGCGAAAACCGGAGAAGTTTCCCATTTGCAAGCAGCTACTCATCACCATATTCTTGACTCTGGTTGTGTTAAGCACTGTGGAGCACAAGGAGTTCCGTTTTGTATCCTCACTCCTGCCACTCTGCTTGTACGTGAGTTCCGAAGCTTTGTCGCGTTTGAGTTATCGTGCTTCCCGTACCGTTCTCTGGACCATTGCTCTGGTGATCCTTTTCGGTAATGCCCTGCCCGGTTGGTATCTGAGCACTGTACACCAGAAGGGCCCTATTGAACTGATGCCCAAGTTGCGGCAGATTGCACAGGAGTACAAGGACGAGCGGGAACATCGCGCCAGCATACTTTTCCTCATGCCTTGCCATTCGACGCCGTACTACAGGTTGGTCATAGAACTCTAACTTCCGCCACTAAATCGCTTACCATTGACTGCATTTTCTTTCACTAGCCACATTCACGAAAACGTCACCATGCGCTTCCTCACCTGCGAGCCGAATTTACAAAAGCAGGACAATTATATTGACGAAGCTGATCGCTTCTTTGACTCGCCAAAGAGCTGGCTGAATTCCCACATACCCGTCTATCCGCGCACTGCTCTACCCTCACATGTAGTGCTGTTTGATTCGTTGGCCGACAAGATTAGCGAGTTTCTGGGCAACTACAGGCTGCTACACACCATTGACCATGCGGAGGTAAATAAATTGGTAGACTCTCAGGCGCTGGTCAATGAGTGGTCCAGTGCTGTGGGTGCCACGCCTCCTAACATTGCCTCTATTCTGCAGCGGTTGCAAGCCCGTACGGGCAAGTCCATCAAGGTCTATCAGCGGCTGCGAGCCGGTGAGGAGAATACCTATAATCGTGAGGAGTTTCAAGCAGCCGCAGAACAGCCCGAACAATTAGATGATGTTGGCATATTGAGTGAAAATCAATTCAATTAATAGCACCGATATTGAATCGGGACAAAAGTACTTTTACAGGAAAGACTTGATCTTAAAGCCAATCTAGCCCTCCGTTCAAAGCAAGACACATCGCATTAATAAGCAATTAAATACATATATTTTTTCTAAAGACCGCCTTAGCAAAGTTTTAAAAACCTTTTCGGAACAACTAACATGTAAAATGTAGTTTTAAAACTCGTAGTTGGTATCCGTACCGACCACCCGAACCTTATGTGTACGTTGTCGTAGTTTTTAATTTGTAAGTGCAAAGTTTTATGATATCGTAAAAATGGTCCATATGAGGCACTTAATAATAATAATAGATGCCCGGTTGTACTGTCCTTTGTTTCCATGACCAAATAAAGGTTCAGTCGATAAAAAGCGAAATAAAGAAGCTTTTTTTAAAAAAATAAAAACAAGCTGTTATTCTATTAAAATTTAGGTGGAACAAACTTGTGGGAAAACTTTAAAAACTATGGCACTAAAGTTTAAAATTTTTTAAATAAAAATAAAAAATATTTTTATAACCTACATATTCTAGATTTTTAAATACAGTCAATCATTTAGTTCTAAACCTTTTCCAGATTATTATTTTCAGTCAATATCTTTGCACGCTTCAGGGGATTCCAAAAGTGAATGATTTGTATACCTTATTTAGATAAATGGTGAATTTAGTTAGTGTCTTAAGAAATTTCACTAAATAATAAAGAGACTCCAATTGCTAAACATATACATTATGGAGAATAGGAAATGTTTATAAAAAATATGTTTTAAATAGATTTCACTAAATAATAAAGAGACTCCAATTGCTAAACATTATGGAGAATAGGAAATGTTTATAAAAAATATTTTTTAAATGTTTGAATTCGGCCCTCTATTATGGAACTTTTAGCATTTAAGTAGAAATCCCAGGTAGTTCACAAAATTCACTATTTTTAAATATATATATAAGAACCATTTTAAAACACGCAATAACAACAAATCCTTCTTTGGCATTTTTTTATATACATAATTAAACCAAATAAAAACGGAAAAGGGGTTTGAAAATTAACAGTTATGTTGCAAAAGCTTTGCAGTTTTTCTGAAATATCTTTTACATAGCTGTTTAAAAATGCTAAATCAATCAATAGAATCTCAATATTTCCCACACTGTGCCAACCATTCTCTCTGTAACAAAATCGCTACTGACTCATCGATGCTAACTTGACCGCCATATGTGCTAATCATATCGTAGGTGGAGCAGAGTTGCCATCTTCGCGGTGGATTGAAAGTGTCTGCCGAATCAGCCGCCGTCGACGTCGCGCATTAATTAAACGCGTTTTAAACAATAAACCCAAGCGATTCCACAGGTTTTTTGCACAAGCGACCGCCCCAAACAAATCACATAAAATGGCTGCTTCAATGAGGGCGCTACTCAAAGTGCGGGGTAAGTGGGAAATGATAGATATTTAAGGTTGTCGTCCCCGAGGCAGGTGAAAAATTATATAACTTTTCACAAATTGTTGCATGAAAAACAATAATGCAAATGCAAAATGCCGCACAGCAAGCGACGTCACAACGCTGCAGACGATTGAGCGGTTATTTATGTTAATTAAAAGAATTAACAGCCAAGCAAATTGTCCACAATCTGCAAAAACAACAACAGCAACAACGACGTGTCCAGCACAGCGGTGTGTGTCAGAGGCAAGAAGAAGAAGCACAGAACGGGCTTGTATGGTGTCTGGGTGGAGGATGGGGAGGTGTTAAGGGGGTTGGGCATCGTTCAAGGTTCGCATGTGACCTACAAACAAATAGAGAAAGAAATGAAAGCAAACAGCAGCGCTCGCTACCCGCAATGCTAATCAAATATTATCTCTATTCGAATCTTTTTAGATGGCTTCGTCGCCGGCGTTCGCTGCAGCTCCCAATACAACAAGACGCGTCCGAATCTTAAGCTGAACGCCGATTCGCGCGTCATTTGCCAGGGCTTCACGGGCAAGCAGGGCACCTTCCACAGTCAACAGGCTCTGGAGTATGGCACCAAACTGGTGGGTGGCATTTCGCCCAAAAAGGGCGGTACTCAGCATCTGGGACTGCCGGTTTTCGCATCGGTGGCCGAGGCCAAGAAGGCAACGGATCCACATGCCACCGTTATTTATGTGCCACCACCCGGCGCCGCCGCTGCCATATTGGAGGCGCTCGAGGCCGAAATACCTCTGATTGTCTGCATCACCGAGGGTGTGCCCCAGCACGACATGGTGCGTGTAAAGCATGCGCTCCTGCGTCAGGAAAAATCTCGGCTGGTTGGACCCAATTGCCCCGGCATTATTGCGCCCGAACAGGTTCGTAGTTCTGTTTAAGCTATAGCATATGTACATGCTATGTATATAGTTCGACGATTTTCTTGATGTTGACGGACAGTCGTTTGATAACGCAGCCTCCAGCTGGCTTTGGGTCAGGGTACAAAGTTCAATGTGATTATGTGTTTATGGGCTCGTTACATCGAACGCTCACATGCCTTTGTTATTGATTCCGGCGTCACTATTTGCTTGATAATTATCTTGCTGGTTTATTTTATCGTACCGGCTCTTATCGCTTGAATTGGCAGGTTAATTGCAAATGTTCTCTATTTGATAGGCACAAGCTGTTTTCCGTTTTGGGAGGCAACCTACAAACTAGGCTGTGCTGTGCTGTGTGTGTTTAGAAATGGTTGTGATACTCGAAAGCTTCAAAAAATTCCAGAACATTTATAAGATGTGTATAATCATAAGCTTTTTTATGATTCCAAATATGCGAAATTATGTTGGCGAAATAATTGCAAAATAAGCGAAAACGAAATTGTTCAATTTAAAAGAGGTGCACAAATGTTTATTTTGCATAGGTAGCGATCGCCGAGATTTACAAAGTTTATGCTGGTAGACGGAAAGCTAAGCTTCTCCGTACCAGATGCGATAACGAAAAACGAACTTGACTTGCAGAGTTAGCGACAATAACTAGTACATATGTGGCGGCTGCGCAGCAGCCTATGCAAATTTATGGCAACAAAAGGAAACGTTAAGTGCTCGGCTTGCTATGCAAAGCAAGCGACAAGAAAACGAGCACTTTGCATTGAGTTATTTACGTTACTTATTAACTATGATGTGCTGCTGGTTTTGGCTGTTTTTGGCCGGATGACCAAACATACTCCCCCTGTTGAAGAACCAGGGTCTTCAACAACATCTTGTTTCGGCAGCGGGCATAATTTGCGAACGGCTCGCCGAATGGTTCCAGTGGAAGTCCTCAATTCTGCAACTCTCGACACGCCATCTGCGCCGCTGATGAGGCTGACCACCCTTGCTAATGGCCATTTGAGGGGCGGCAAATTCTCGTCCTTGACCAGAACGACATCATCAATGGAGAGTCCAGGCTGCGACACTCGCCATTTTGAGCGCTGTTGAAGAAGCGTCAAGTATTCTTCACGCCAGCGAGCCCAAAATATCTGCTGGTAGTACGTCACGCGCTGACATCGATCCAGCCGATTGAAATTGAGCTTCGTCAGATCAGGCTCAACGTACGTTGACAGCGGAGCAGCACCAAGAAAATGAGCTGGAGTCAAGACATCGAGATCTGCTGGATGTTCTGAAAGGGATAACAATGGGCGAGAATTAATAATTGCCCCGATATGGCATACAAGCGTGCGCAGTTCATCAAATTCGAGCAGCGATAGTCCGACGGATCTGTAGAAATGATGCTTGGCAGTCTTTACAGCCGCTTCCCATAGACCACCAAAGTGAGGCGAGCGCGGCGGAATGAAACGCCAATCAATACAGTCAGCAAGGCAAAATTCTTGCACAGCCTGCAGGTGCTCGCTGGATTCAAAAAGACGCTTTAGCTCAGCCATCTCGTTCCGTGCGCCAACGAAATTTGTAGCGTTGTCAGACCAGATCCTCGTAGGTCGACAGCGCGTCAAAATAAAGCGTTTAAGTGCATTTAAGAATGCTCCGGTGGTTAAATCCTTCACCAACTCCAAATGCACAGCCTTGGTGGCGAAGCAAATGAAAATGCAAATATAGCATTTTATTGGTGCCTTATTGCGGACCTCGCTTTTGTAGAAAAACGGCCCACAAAAATCCACACCAGTGACCATAAAGGTATGTGAAGCATCAACTCGATCCTTTGGCAGGTCAGCCATAACATGCTCCACAAGACGAGGCTTGGCTCGAAAACAAATGGTGCATTTGCTGACTACGCTGCACACTGTTTTCCGACCGCCAATTGGCCAATACTGCAACCGAATTGAGGCCAGCAATGCACGAGGTCCAGAATGCAGATTACGGACATGGTAGTGCATAATGACTGAACGCGTGACTGGATGACGCCTTGGAAGTATAATTGGATGCTGGGCTTCAAAGTCGAGCGCAGAGTTACTTAGACGGCCACCAACGCGCATCAATCCAGAGCTGTCGAGAAACGGAGATAAAGAAAGACAGGAGCTAGACGATTTCAAAGTGTGTCCGGCCTGCAAGGTCTTGTATTCGTCCCGAAGCGTAGACATTTGAATTGAGCGCATCAACAGCAGTGTACCATGACGGATGCAGTCCACCGATAGCCCAGGAATTCGTACACGGTGCAGGAACTTGTATACATATGCAAACACGCGCTGCAGCTTTCCAAATGTGTTAACATATTTGCATTGCTGTGCAATGTCTTCGCACAGTGTGGTGCTTACAAACACTTTAGAGCGCTGCTCAGGAAGCGACGAGACGGAATTGCAAGACTCTGGCCAAGAAGATTTATCTTTCGTCAGAAATGCGGGACCATGTAGCCACAAGTTGGACTGGACTAATTCGCTGGGCAAAGCTCCACGTGAAAGTATGTCCGCAGGATTTAAATCGGTTGGAATATATCGCCATTCCATGCCAGAGGTCAACTCTTGAATAGTTGCGATGCGATTGGAAACGAAAATTTGAAACCTGGATGGCTCGCTGCGAATCCAAGATAGCGCTACTGCAGAATCAGACCAACAATAAAACTTGCAGTCGAATAACTCCATACGAGATATTTCGTTTATGAGTTGTGCCAGCAAAACGGCTCCGCACAACTCTAGTCGGGGCACGGTCAACGATTTGAGCGGCGCCACACGAGATCTGGAACACAGCAGCTCCGCACGAGATTGGCCTTGCGTGGTCGAAATGATGTACACGCAAGCTCCATAGGCATCTATGCTGGCATCACTAAAACCATGCACTTCAATGGAAACACCAACAGAAAGTGCAAGCCTTGGAAATTTCAGCTGCTTTGTGCGCTCAAAATCTGCAATAAGATTATGCCAAGATGTTGTCAATGATGCTGAAAGGCTTTCATCCCAATCAAGCCTTTCTCTCCAAAGCGCCTGCAGGAATATCTTAGCCTTTGCGATTACTGGTCCAATAAGGCCAAGCGGATCATAAAATCTGGCAATAGTTGACAAAACAGTGCGCTTGCAAATTCGACCAGATGTCAATGCTGGCAGAAACGTGAATATGAATAAATCCGTCGCAGGATCCCACGACAGTCCTAGAGTTTTTGTTATGTCGCTGCCATCATCAAACGTAACTAGAGTTTCTTTGTCTTCTTCCGGAACTTGTTTGAGCACATCAGGATTGCTGGAGCACCACTTCCTTAGCTTGAAATTAGCCTTGGCAAGTAGCCCTGTGGTTTGTCTCATAATTTCTATGACTTCGTTTGTAGAAGCACCACCAGTGATTAAAACATCAACATAAAAATCGCGGCGCAAGATATCGGAGCCAATAGGAAATAGCTCATGCTCATCTTCAGCCAGCTGATGCATAGTGCGAACGGAGAGAAACGAGGCAGGCTTTGTACCGTAAGTGACGGTATCAAGACGGAAAACTTGAATAGGCTTTTGAGGCGAGTCACGCCATAGAATGCATTGAAAATAGCTATCCGGATTTGATACTCGCACGCAGCGGTACATCTTGCAGATGTCTCCTGTTAAAGCGATAGGAAACGTGCGAAATCGAAGAAGCGTGTTTGCGAGCTTTGACTGAATGGAAGGACCAGCCATTAGGATGTCATTTAAAGAATGACCAGAGGATGTGGATGCGGAACCGTCAAACACGACTCTCAACTTTGTCGTTGTGCTGTCCTCCTTCAGAACGCAATGGTGCGGCAGGAAATACTTGCACAAATTTAGCGAAACTGGCGATACAAGCGACATATGACCCAACTCTAAATACTCCTTAATGAATGCAGAGTACTGTGCTTTGAGAAGTGGATTGCGTTCTAACTTTCGCTCCAAGTTTATGAACCGACGATAGGCTTGCGTATAGGAATCGCCAAGCAGATCTGTGCTGAGCTTTACAGGCAATCGGACGGAATACTCGCCAGTACGCAGGCGCCTGTAATTAGCCTTGAAATGCTCCTCGCAGTCGAACTCTTCTTTTGTAAGTTTTACAGCCGGATCGACACCACTTTCGAGTTCCCAAAAAGAGCGAACCATCTGCTCGATTCGTGTATTGCAATCCTGTGTAGACGGAGACTTGGATGCAACCAAAGCAGATTTCTGACGCTGCGAGCCACCTCCAGTAACTATCCAGCCCAAACGAGTCTTTTGCAGAAGTGGCAGGCCATCAGCCAGTTTAATCTGACCTACGCACAACAACTCGTAGAATAAATTGGCACCGATAAGCATATCAATTTGCTGTGGCTTGAAGAACGCCGGATCAGCTAAGCGGACATTGCTTGGTATATCCCAATGAGATATGTCAACCGTGAAATTTGGTTGGTTCTCAGTAATGGAAGGAGCGACCAAAGCAGTAATATTTGCGGAATAGTCAGTGACCAATGATTGCAAGCATAAGTGCACAGTGCAACCATCAGACTTGAAACTGACGTCACCAAGACCAGACACAGAGGCCGACGACTTGGTCTTTCGAAGTTGGAGCCGGTGAGCGAATCGCGAAGTTATAATGTGCAACTGTGATCCGGAATCGAGCAGTGCACGGCAGGGTACCCAAGTCCCGGCGCGATTTTGAATGCTGATGACAGCGGTGGCCAAGAGCACAACATCTGAGCCGAGATTTTGGGCAGGCAATGAAGCAAGCGATGATGGCGAAACAGCTGCGAGAGCGCTACGTGGCAGCAACAATGAAGACGGCCGCGAGTGTAAGTCAGAAGCGGACGATTGGTCAGGCATCAAATTTACGGCAGCTGAATTATTAAAATGCAATAAACTGTGATGTTTGGCACCACAGGTTCTGCACGATCCAGAATTGCAAGTTCTCATTCTGTGTCCCTTTCTAAGACAATTTATACACAGAGAGAGGCGTTTCGCTTCCTTTAAACGAAGTACAGGCGACAAATTACCAAAAAGTGGGCAACTGTATATTTCGTGTGCATTTATGTCACAAAACAGACAACCATTTGCGGATGGGTTAGTGGCGACAAACGAGCGTTTGGTGTTAGTGTTTTTGTTCTTTCCCACCTGATAATTCGACGAATATGATGCCATTGCATGCTCGATGTTTTCCAATTTTTGGCACCTGCTATCCAAGAACGTCGCAAATTGCTCCCACGACGGTATAACGTTTAATGGGGCGGCTTCCTCCCACTTTGCCTGCGTCGCAGCATCCACCTTGCCCAAAATTGTCTGAACGACGATGCTGCCAGCTACATCTTGCATATTGCCCAAACTCAACAGTGCACGCATATTTGCGTTGACTTTGTCGGACAACTCTCGCAGCTTGCTTGTAGTTTCAGCCTTTTTAATGCCCAAAATCTCGGAGATGTGTGCCTGGAAAATAAGACGCTTATTGTTAAACCGCTTGTCGAGTAGGTCTAACGCCACTGAATAATTTGCACCACTTATCTCAAGCGCACGAATCGTGTCCAACGCAGATCCTCTTAAGCTTGACCTCAAATGCTGCAACTTTTCCACATCGGAGAGATCTGGATCCTTGGCGATCACTGATGTGAACATCGAAGCGAAATCTGCATATTCAGTATATCCACCACTGAATGTAGGCAACTTAAGCTCAGGCAAACGAGACCGAGTTATCACAATGGTAGACTGATCATCTTGCCGAAGCGTCGAACACGGCGGCGCGCCAGATTGCATCCTTTGTATTGCATTTAGCAGGCGGCCCTCCAAGCAGACCACCAGCTCAGCAAAGTTGCAGCGCAAACTGCTGCCAATCTCGTCAAAGTCCAGCTCCTCTAATTTGTCATGCACCAAATTAAAAGAGGCCTGAATACTTTGCAGCATTTCCACACGTTTTCGCAGCTCACTTTCTGAAATATTGTCAATTTCACAATCATTTATTTTATTTTGAATAGAAAGCGCCCACGCATATAATGATTGCGCCTTGCGCTTATAAAACTCAACACTATTGCTCGTAGCTTGCACTGCATTGCCCACAGCTGTTGACGTCGAAGCTGTTGGCGCAAGCGTCGCTGCATCAGCTACGTCAGCAGCAGCTGATGCGACAGCTTGGAAGGCGCGCATTTGACCGTCGCTCTCAGACATTGTGAACGCGAGAGAGAACCGAAAACCGAAAATAGCAGAGATAAATGACGCGCGCGAATAACTGTTTTATCTGCTGATGTTCGTTGCCCTCAAAAACGTCGCTTCACACGGCTGCTTATTGGCGGTACAGTAGGCACTATGAACTTATATTTTTGCACTTATGTACTTGAATATTTTTTGTGTACAATGAGCTCAATTATGTACGCTTTTGTTTTTTAACGCGATTAAGCAAGGTTTTGTGGAATTATTAATCACGTCGGGGTCACCAAAATGTATAATCATAAGCTTTTTTATGATTCCAAATATGCGAAATTATGTTGGCGAAATAATTGCAAAATAAGCGAAAACGAAATTGTTCAATTTAAAAGAGGTGCACAAATGTTTATTTTGCATAGGTAGCGATCGCCGAGATTTACAAAGTTTATGCTGGTAGACGGAAAGCTAAGCTTCTCCGTACCAGATGCGATAACGAAAAACGAACTTGACTTGCAGAGTTAGCGACAATAACTAGTACATATGTGGCGGCTGCGCAGCAGCCTATGCAAATTTATGGCAACAAAAGGAAACGTTAAGTGCTCGGCTTGCTATGCAAAGCAAGCGACAAGAAAACGAGCACTTTGCATTGAGTTATTTACGTTACTTATTAACTATGATGTGCTGCTGGTTTTGGCTGTTTTTGGCCGGATGACCAAACAAGATGTTTGGGAATTTTTTAAAGGGGAGATTATAAGGGTCGTTGTGAAAGGTTGAATAACTGATTAGCTGCTTCAAAAACAACATTTTTCGTTGTCAACAACAAGGTCATCAACAAAATCCAAGAATTTCATATTTTATGATCAAGGTTAAAGAAGTTTATCGAACTTTTCTGAAGATCCTAACAGCTTTAAAGTTCCCGAGCTAATATAATAGCTTTGAACTTGTAAGAAAACTCATTATTTATAAGTAAAAAGGTTTTACAATTTAAAAATACATAAATCCACCCACTCATCCTTTTAAACACAGAAATTTTAAATTCTTCGGAGAATTACTTTTTAAAAAGTACCCTAAAATAGATGATAGTTTATAACAAACCACTAATTAATTTAATGGGTAAACAAATTGATTTTCATGAAGAGCAGTTGGATTGTAAACCTGTTTCACAAGACATGTGAATAAGAATTAGGGGACTCCCAAAAAATTGTGTGCGTCGAGCAGATGATTATTATCCTATTTATCCCCCCTTTCATAGAATTGCATATTAATTTCTCTGCAATGATTATGAAAGAAACTAAAAAGTCAGTCGCTCTACAAGCTCTCGTTTGTCCAACATTCAAATTGTACATTAAGGGGCTTATGTTTTAATCAAAAATTCTATATGTATGTATGTATAAAATTTTAACTTATTTGTTGAAAGTCCTAGACTATAAATATTAACGTCATAAGACTAGAAGTTAATCTCTATGTTTCTCATTTTCAGTGCAAGATTGGCATTATGCCCGGCCATATACACAAACGCGGCAAAATTGGCGTCGTCTCTCGCTCCGGCACCCTGACCTATGAGGCCGTGCATCAGACTACCGAAGTGGGCCTGGGCCAGACGCTGTGCGTAGGCATTGGTGGTGATCCCTTCAATGGCACAGACTTCATCGATTGCCTCGATGTGTTCCTTAAGGATCCTGACACCAAGGGTATCATCTTGATTGGTGAAATCGGTGGTGTGGCCGAGGAGAAGGCCGCTGACTACTTGACTGAGTACAACACGGTGAGTGGAGCACTAGTTTCTAGCACTCTTCACCCAACAACTTTCTAATTGTATTTGGTGTGCTTCTCTAGGGCATCAAAGCCAAGCCTGTGGTCTCATTTATTGCTGGCGTTTCGGCGCCACCCGGCCGCCGTATGGGTCACGCTGGTGCCATTATCTCAGGTGGCAAGGGCGGAGCTAACGACAAGATTGCCGCGCTGGAGAAGGCTGGTGTGATTGTGACCAGGAGTCCAGCCAAAATGGGTCACGAACTGTACAAGGAGATGAAGCGCTTGGAATTAGTTTAGATAAAGACAGACACACCAAGAAATTGAACAAAACGAGTGTATGGAGTTTAGAATCAAGGTACCAAAAGTACGACTCATATGGGAGATATGCGAAGCAACTAAATGATTACCTAATTAAGCAAAAAGTGTTTGGAAAGAAAAAGAATGAAAAATCGAAAACTATTATGTCGAAATCGCAAATAAATTATTGTAAAAATCGCTTATATGAAACTTAACGTTGTAAGATATAATTGAATTCCATTTAAATATTGTATGTATGTGTAAAACTGCCGCAGACAAATATCGTACCACCAATCAACAACAACAAGAATTGAACAACTCAGCACCGCGCACCAAAGATTCGAACTGTTCACTGCACCTGCTCTTTAATGCACTGACAACAAATGTTATTAAGCCCAATTTAAAAGCTGCCTCATTTTGTTTTTGAATCAAAATAACTCGAAATATAATTTCAAATTGTATTTAATTATAATAAATATGAAAAAGTTGTCCAAGATTATGCAACTAAAATTGCAGCTCTATAAATAAATTGTTAAACATTAACCCTCGAAACGAAAGTGATTCAAATTAAGCCATTGTGGCGCCAAGAGCCCTCCAGTGTTGTTTTAAAGTGTTGCCAATGCGAGCGCAGCAGTTGAGGAACTGTTGTGTGAAATGCAAATCTAGCGGTTTTTTAAATTTGTACTCTGCAATTAATTTAAATAAAAAATATATAAATCACTGATATAGGCTAATGCCTAATTATTAGGTAATTAATTTAAGTTTTGTGTTAACTGCGTATCATAGGGAAACATTGCATGCTTCCATTCCATTACTTGATATCGATAAGTGTACGCACTATCGATATGTGCGTTAGTTACATCGGTAGTTTTCTTACATCCCTACTGCCAGTAGCCAGTCGACGAGAAGTTTATTTTATAAATAAATAAATAGCGAAACGCAAGTGGTAAAGGCAACGCTACAGTAGCAATAAATCAACGAACAAACAAGTCGGCAATCACTATAGCTATACCCGATCTAAACTGCCGCCGCAAAAATGCAAATGTGCGAATTCGGGCTGCAAAAAGCCAGCAGCAGACCTGACAATGGTGAGTAGGAGAAGAAGTAGAACTAAATATAAATACTGCAAATCGTTGTTAGAATATTACCCAGAAAAACAATGGAAAACACTTTAAATTTTACAGCATGTTGTGAAATACGCGTCCCTTTTTTTCGCTTGTTCGCTTCTTTAAGTCGAGATCGGTAGCCGGCTATTCCGTCTTTGGTCTGTACTTAAAGGCGTCCCCATAGGTGGTTCCCATTATCTGGGCTTTGTCTAGGATCTCTTCGCACTTAAGCGCCCTGCGTTTGCCTGTTGATGTTAGATTTCCATAGCTTTTCATCATATCGTATTCGGGCAAACGGAATATTAGTCTATTCTTATTCTGCTCCGCCAATTTCAGGCATTCATCCATTCCCATCTTTGGCAGTACGTCGTACATTAATGTATAGGTTGTGGTGCAGTTCTTCTTAAGTGCTTCCGTCGATTTGAATCGCACCTGTGATTGCGTGTTCCTCACCAGATTATCGAAGGCATCTCCACGCCGACGTATATGTGAGCGCAAGATATCGACGCCCTCAAAGATGTCGGGCCTGTATGAAGTTTGGGAAAGTGTACGATGTTGATCGCAGGTGTTTTCACACCACATGCCAGGCAGAATACCCTTCGAATTATTTATTTTGCAATACCGGCGGTTACTCCAATAGCCAACTAGCACGTCCGGGCTATAGTGAGGGGGGCAGCGTTCGTTAAGATAGGAACCGCGCGGCCCGGTGTCTATTTTCGACATTTTAATTAAACCAAAAGCTCAATAAAAGACGTATAATTTTAGGTAAAAAAAATCGCTTAAAATAAAGAACTACTACTATAAAAAAGCACTGATTAGAAGAGGACAAATAAAACTGATAACTAGGTCAAGGCATATCTGGAAACTGAGCTCAAATTTTTTTTTACGGCATCAAGAAGTTACACCCTATTTCATCCTATTTGTGTAAGTAAAGGTAATGTCGGAAGCCCATGGAAAGGGTGTAAAGCAATTTCTCATTGCTCTTGTGTCTGTCGAAAAGTTTTAATTCTGAAGCTAAGCTATTGCCATAGAACAGAAATGTTATACCTGTAAAAAATTAAGAAACTAGTCTAGGATAATAAAAATCTGGGAGCTACATTTTAGCAATTGTGGATTTGTGTTTGCCTCCAACTTAGAGAACTTTGCGCATAACTTGAGCTTTGTGCGTTGCTTATTTAGTTTATAAAATGATTTTGTTTGTGTTTAAAATAGATTTCAAATGCCTGTGCGTTGCTACGTCGGCGGTAGTGACGATGGTGGAGGCGGCGGTGATTTGAGTGGTTTTATTGAAAATCTATTTTGCGAATGGCCAGGCCATCAGTTGTGCCCCTTCTCTGCACTGCCCCTCTCCCCTCCCCACCCTTCCCTTTACAGCAATGCGTGTTTGTGTCGTCAGTTTGTTGTTTTCATTTAAATACTCAAAAACCCGGGCAAACTTAAGTGGCGGCAGTGGCGGGAGCGGCGTTGACGACGACGTAGTCACAGTGTTGGCATTACTTTTGGCAAGATGCATGAAAATATAGCATGTAGTACATGTATCTACAGTAAAACCTAGCAACTGTCAACACTCGATTAAATGGCAAAACAAAATTAAACATGCTCCACGCTTACACAAATTGGTTTAAAGATTAGAAAAAACATTGCTTAGGTATACGTTTTTGTAAATGACACTCTTGATATACTATATTAAGCGCATAATACAGCATTTTTACAATCAATTGCGGCTCATTTCATATTAATAAAATCTCTATTAATAGTTTTATGGAACCTTTTAGTCAAGTCATCAAGAACTTGCCGTTTCTATGCAAATAGGTACTGATTTCATATTTTATTTTTGCACTTTAAAATAAATATCTTGTGTAGTACTATGTGTGTTCTATTTAAATTAGCTGTAGTGAAAGATTTGATTGTGCAGGCACAAAATAATATATTGGTGGCTTTTGACAATCAGGAAATAAATTTGTCATTGACGACAATGAAGTGTAGCCTTAAATTACTTCCTTGTTTTATATTTGGATATTAAAAAAAAAATGAAGTCACGTTTAATCATGAATGAGAAAACCAATTGTTTGCATAGTTGGAGTAAAGATTCCTGAAAGATCAGTTATGATCTGTTATGTTTTGCTTTAGAGCCTGATAAAAAGAGGACATTTTAATGGTTCCTTCTTATCTTATTTCCAGCAATTACCTTTATCATATGCCTTTCTTTAAATTTGGCGTAAATAATCGGATTTAGTCAAATAGTTCCAAGATATACGGATGTTGAGGAAAAGTCACAAACTTAGGAAATTCGGGCTACCGAGTTTAGTTATTCTATTCTCTTATATTTCCTGAGATGTGTGCGTTTATTTAGACTAATGAACGGGTTATGTACGGGTTATCCATCGTAAGCGATTTATAAAAGAAAATGCTTTAAGATTCCGTTAAAATTTCTAAAATTATTGTATAATTTAAGTAATATTTAATTAAAAAATCAATTTTTCGTCAAGATATTGATGATAAGGAAGCATTTTCATTATCATTAAATTATGGAATCAAAATTGAATGTAATAGCTTACCTTTATATGTATATAGATTGAAATATTATGTTCAACATGTAAAATTAAAAGTACAGTTAACAAAAGGGAAACACATGATAACGCTTGAGGTCGAAAAAACACTTTTAAATTCATTCTGTTACTGGTTTATTATTACTACAAGTATGTTTTTGGGATAAAAGATGGCAATTGAATTTAAAGTCCGGGACAAGCTTTTAGTTGTAATTATTGTGCGTATAAATATTATAATAATACAATTTTAATAAATAATGGATTAGACCTTTATAAATGAGGCTTGAGCATCAAACTAATCTAGTACATCCTCATTTAATACGAACTCGGCCTAACGCGATTAAAAATTTGCTACCATTTCTTTTTTAACACGCTGAAAACCTCGTTCTTATACGATGGAAGTTGAAAAATATTTTAAAATGAAGCCTATTACTATAACTTATTTTCGCTTAACACGAGGTTTTCGAGGAACGCAACCTCCGTGTTAAGCGAGGGCTAGGTGTATACCCTTTTAGCTATTGGGTACAGGATGTACAGCTGTGTTTAATTAAATAGTAGTGCCGTACCTCATTCTTTCTAGTCATCAACATTGAACAACCGATATCTTTTTAGAATGGCTGGAATGTAAGCATTATAAATCCGAAAAAATTCCGTTACATTTAAACGCCTTCTTATTATTCATGATTTTACACAAATACCAATGAAAAGTGCTGTTCATAGAAATAGTAGTGCCTTTTTCATTTTTGTATATAAGCCGATTGTGAATGTTGTAAAAAGTGAGAATAAAAAAAGTGTCCTTTATGAGCCTGCTAGATGTTCAAATGTGCTCTCTGTGACCCTCTTAGGTGGACTTCACTGTATTGGTTCATGCTCTGCCGATATTTACACGAAACTAAAAACAGACAGCACGCGCTCGCCTGCTACATTCGAGTTTATTGTTGTTTCTCGATGATGCTATAAACGAAATGTCGTTCTGTGGGTTGATGATGTTGCTGTGTTCGTTGTTGTTGCTGTTGTTACTCTCATCTCTTAGTCAGTTGTTGCGCCTTCCTTGTTCGTTGTTGTCCGCCGTTGTTCCTCTTTCGTCGCGTTGCTGCCGTTTCGGGCCCGTTGATCAACATCATCGCTGCGCTCGGATTCGCTTCGACGTTTCTGTTTACATTTGTACGCACACACACACTCACACGTACATAGGCAAACATAAACATACAAACACACACACATTTGCGATTCGCACACATTTTTCTGTTTTTTTTTTTTTTTAAGTGCACCACAATGTGAATATTTTCGGGCAAGGAGAATGCTGAGAATTTGTGTAAATTAATTTATAGTTTTCTTTTTCGTGCCATTTCGTTTTATATGTTTTTAATTTAATTCATTTGCTACAAATTATTATGAATAATTACTGATGATAAGACAGAACGGAGGCTGTGACTCAGATATAGCCAAGGCTAACAGCTGTACTTGTATTGTCTGTCTGTCGATTTGTCTATTCTCAAGGCATTTCAATGCAGAAAGGAATTCAGACAGCAGCCAGTTGCCTAGGCTGCTCCCTTTTTTGCATAATTCATTAATCCCGCAGGTGGCCTTTGACCCAACCAAATGAAGATTTGTCAGACGGCGGCATTTGGCAACCTGCCCCATGTGCCCCTTTGTGTATGCAACAGGAATTTTTATAGTTTCCTTATGCCACGCATACAATGCGCTTAGCACGGTTCGCTTCTTGTAAGAACTGAGACCGGAACAGGATGATGTGCTTAGCTGGCACTTTTTCTTCTTGTTGCTGTTGCTTTTGCTGCTACTTAAGCCAACTGAGGCGGCATTACTAGAAAGGATAGCGGAAAGTGTGCAGAGGGGGTTGAGAGCCTTGCTAAAAACTTTTCTACATGTGTCAGCTAAAAAGCAAGTTTTATGATTTGCGGCCTAAGGAAGACGTACACACACACACATACAAACACACGGACTTTTAGACTTGTTCGAATGTGGTTGTTGTTGCTGTTCGTACTGATTTGTGTCAAGCAGTTGGTACACTGCGATAAAACAAAGAAATAATATCAACGACTTTTTCGTAATGATGTTTTTGACTCTTTTAATTTTTAATAAATGTTGAAGCAAATACAATAGTTAGACTATTAGCAAATAAGGGAAAAGCCCGTCACTATTAAATAGCGCAGAAACAAAAAGAAAGAAAAATATTGTAAAACAGTCTGGAAAGTTTCAAAATCAATTTAACGTTTTCTTTGCATACTAAAAAATTATGACTAGTTGTTGTCCTGCACGGATTAATTTTAGGAGAAAAGAATGCCTAATTTTACGCATTAACTGATATTAAAGGGTGACAAAAATATGGCTCGAATATTTTATACCAAGTAAAAGCTATTGATTTAAGTTCGTTTTTTTCAATGGGAAACTAATTTTTCAGAAACTATTTAAGAGCTACACCTAGTCTAAAGTTTCAAGGCAGAATTAAGATCTGTTCGGCCTGAATCTTGGATCGCCTTGTCATTGTAAATTGTACTGTAATTTAGGATGAATCCATTGGTAGACAATTTTTTCGACTGTGACTTAAATATTAAAATGAAGTACTCCTCTTTTTGGTGCAGTGTAAGGCAGCCTGGAAGACACAGCAAGTGTGCTAGTTGGGTGTCCTTGGTACGCAGTGATTATTGTGCAAGTTGCTGTCGTTGCTGACTGGCTAACTGTCTAGTGTCTGGCATTGTTAACGCCTTTCATGGCCACCAAAGGCGAATTAATTAACGTGGCGTGTGCCGGTGAAGCATTTAACTTTTTAATTGACTCATAAAAGCCATGCCGACGAAGAAGAATGTTCACTTTCTTTTACCAAATACCGATGAGAGTGGGCCAAAGCGTTGGCTCAGAGTGCTAGTCTAATAGCAATTGCGTCTAATTAGATTAACTTTGGCCTGAACATTGATATTGCGGCTTTATTGCAATTGGCCAATTGCCTGTTGGCGGCATTCAAAATGTATTGTGAGCTTCTTTTGATTTTCAATTTGAAATTTAAAATTGAAGTTTAGCGTTTGCGTAATCTTTGAGGGCAATTAAAAGTTTTGCACGCGTCAGGGTATTTAAATATGGACCATCCAAACTTAAATACGTCAACTAATTTATGCCGCGCCACGCCCACTCAAGCGTAGACAGACAGAGTGACACAAGACATCCCACCCACAGCCCACAATGCGCTCAGGCATTGCTGCAGCG